CTGTGACTTGGTCATCTGTGAGCCCATTCATAAGATATTATAAAATCAACTCCTTTGCCTCAGCAGAGACGTCCTTTGGAAGACGAGTCCTGCAGGGCGTTCATGTAGAAGTGGGACCTTCAACCAATCCAGTTCCCTCCCATAGGACAGCCATCAGCCAGCTTTGGTATATCCCATCCTGGATTCTCCCTTCAGCTCAGTGGAAAAGGGGTGTTGGTCCTACACTTCTTCTCGGGGAGCCGAAGGGAGAATCCAGTCCCACCCTGTATTCTGTCTGGTTGGAGTAGGGAGGAAATGTTTTTTTCTCGCAGTATCAAATAGGCTATCTGTTAGAGGATGAGGAGCAGCTGGATTTGCTTCAACATCATTCAGAACTGGGAACTGTTACCAAGGGGGGTGTCCTCGGTTTTTCAACTCAGTCTGCAGAGCTATGAGACTAGAGACTACCCATCCTGGATTCTCCCTTCGGCTCCCCGAGAAGAAGCATTCAGGTAGGACCAATGCCCCTTTACATAATAAATATAAGTTATGCTTTGGTTTGATTAATGGATTGTTCTTTTAGCATGAACAAAGGGTATTGCCAGAGAATATGACTTTAACAGTTAAAAGGATTTGCCAGACTTATTTAATACAAATATTCTTTTTGCTGAGTGTTCATTTTCTTGCTAAAATCCAACAACCAACCATGCAGACTGAGAGTTATTATTTATTACTTGTTAAATTTATTTGCCTATTACCTCAGTATGGAAATATTTTAGGTGTCCTACAACAATAAAAGGAAGAAATGAAAAGAGTTAAACAGAACAGAAGTAAAATAACAGAACAGTAAAGTAAACAATGAAAAATGAAATTGAAGAGAATGTTTGAACATTGTAGCTTATGACTATTATATTGAAAAGTCATCCTTGGTGTCACCTTTGGAAGCCATATTGAGATTTGATGCTCCCATGCTGCCACAATTGAGCCTGAGAAAGTGGGAGGAAGGAATTCATTTGACTATATTTAGTTAGACAAAAGAAAATTATTTTATTGGTTCAAGGTCACTGAGTGTGGTGCATAATGAAACGGGAATCTTACTTTAGGACGGATGGAGATTGGACCATGTGATATGGTGATGGCTAAGGGGGAATGGATTTGTAGTTTTGACTTTTGCAAGGAAGCCTGAAACTTTCAGATTCAGGATTCCACAGATGTGCCAGTTGCTATCCGAATAAAGGTACCTTTGAGAGATGTCTATCTCAGAGTTATTGATGAAATGGAGGGTTGTTGGAACACTGACATTATTCCGAATCTCTGAACAAACTCCAGCACCCCAAAAGGGGACTGTCAGGGTGCTGAGCCCCAGCACTGACTCCAAACAATGGAGCAGTCCGAAGACTCAGTGAAGATGAAAGAAAAGGAAGAAGCTACAGAAGGGGCTAAGGAGCTTGACACCAGAGAACTAACTGAGACCCTCTGCCCCCTTCTAAAGAAATTTTGCAAGCGATAGAAGCTGCAAAGGAAAGATGGAGACTAGGCGACTGATCTCAAGAGACAGATTCATGGAGAAACTGCCAGACGGAGCTGAATCCAGAGATGAGACCGGAGGAGAAGCTGACTGAACACCTTTCCTCCTCCAGCCTTCTGAGGACAGCCCACGAGTGGAGAAGTGGGGGGATGTTGGAATCAGACAACTCCCAAGACTGGAACATGTTGCCTCCATCCTGAAGCCAGTCATTGGCAGGGATCCTAGAGCAATCCCAGCAACTTAAGGCAGAAAGTTATGTCTCACAACCACAACCTCTCCAGAGGTTGGGTCTTAACACAGCCCACTTTCCTTTACTTTTCTGAGAATTTACAGTGGAACCAGCATGGCATCAGTTGGATGTGGCCTAAGGATCGGCCCAAATCTGCAGGCCCAAGCAGCAAAGGAGAGACATCAGATACAGCTGACATTGGGTACATTACAAGCCCCAATTCCTCCCCCCCATAACCAGCAAGGAAATTACCCCCTGCAGAGAGTATTCCTCCAGGGGGGGGATTTTATCCCGGTTGGGTGGGTCCAGTGCCAGTGGATGCCTGCACCTATTGCACCACCTGGTTTGGGAGCACCCTGGGTCCAAAGAGAAGCAGTGATCCCTTCTCAGCAAAGGGATCTGTGGAGGCAGCAGACTGCAACCAACCCCCTCTTCCCATTGCAGAGAAGAATTCAACAGAATGGCCCTGCTCAGCAGGTTTCAATTCAGCCGCTTATTGGAGCCACCCATTAGGGCCCCTCCTTCCAGTGTGCTTTAGCTGCTTGGCAGATCCCAGATCAGTCACCCTTTGGAGCAGGGGTGGGATTCTACCAGTTCACACCTATCCGCTAGAACCAGTTGTTAACATTCTAAGCAGTTCGGAGAACCAGCTATTAGAAGGGATTACTGGCCTAATCCTGTAAGGAAGGCAGGAGGGAAACATTCTGGTGTTGCTTACAGAAACTGCTTCTCTGTTAACCCTTATTACGTTCTTGGCAGGACTAGACTTCCGGTCTCAGAAACTTCCCTGGAGTTTTTTCCCCCTCCTTTGCTGGTACTTTGCTTGTGTGGAGTGACCATTGAAAAAAGTAACTTATGACCGTTTTTCACACTTACAACTGTTGCAGCATCCCCACAGTCATGAGAGGCCAGGCGAGAAGATGCGTGCCTCAATGTGAATGATATTGAGTTGGCCACGCCCAGCCAATAACATGACCACCAAGCCATGACCACCAACTTAGCCACGCCCACAGAACCAGTTGTTAAAAAATTTGAATCCCACCCCTGCTTTGGAATACCCCTACAGGGCCCCTACATGCCACAGCTGACTCAACACATTCCAGCTCAGCCTTCATTGGCTATGCAATCCCCCCACCCCCCCTCAGATCAGATCAATTGGCTTTCAAAGCAACGTTTGACGGACAGTGTGAACACTTTGTTTACTTCCTTACTTGGATCTGATCCTACATAGATCGATTTGGAAACCAATATGCAACAGATCAGGACCTGGTTTCTGCAATCACAAATGGGATGAATGAGGGGGATGCTTCCAATTTGTAGCTCAGTTGCACTATGAGGAAGCACTGGAGCTATAGGATGTTGATGCCTTTATTGAACTTCTTAGGGCTAGATTTGAGAATCCTGATAGAATTGGAGAAAGTGAAGATAAAATAATGGAAATGAAACAAGGCAAGCGACCCTTAAAAGACTTTGTATGGGACTTTAGAAGGGTTGCAAGCAACCTCATGAACTGGCCTGATAATACTTCTGCACTATTGTAAGAATGCTATTGACCCAGAAGTTAAAAAAGCATGCAACATCAGAGGAACGTCAGAGACTTTACAGGATTGGTATGCCATGTCCCTTAGGCTGGACAGAGAAATCAACCCACACAGAACCCCCCCACCCCCCGAAGGCCCTCCTAAAAGAACAGTGGCAAGACAGCCTCTGACCAGACCTGCTGAAGCTGCTCCTACACAACCCACAAGGAATCTAAAGTGCTATTGATATGGCCAGGCTACTCATAGGGCAGCTGACTGTCTGGCTCCTGCATCTGTTCCACAACTGAGGCCTAGTACAGCTGCCAGGGATTGAAGGATTCCATGGAAGCCTCCAGGCATTAGCTGGTTTGCTAGACAAGTTGTAGAAGATCCCTTCCGCACAGAGGGAGCAAAGAACGTCTGGCCCAAGAAATCCTCCCCCTAGAGGCAGATGAAGAAGAGGACCCCATGCCATTCTCCCTTTTACAGCTAAGGTGAAGTTGGTGGTGCCTGAGAGTGGTGAGGCAAGGGAGGTAGAAGCAGTAATAGACACTGGGTGTTCCAGATGCCTTATTGGGCTCCCCATTGTTGAACTATTAGGAATAAAGACTAAAGCCCTGAAATGCCCAATCAAGTTTCAACAAGTAGATGGAACTATAATTGGAGGAGTTCCCGCTACCCAAATTACAGTGTTAATGAAACTAGAGATGGGCAGACACTGTGAGCTCATATGTTTTGTAGTGGCTCAAAAAATGTCAGAATCTATAATATTGGGACTTGCTTGGCTGGATAAATGGGCTCTTATCCTCAAGTGGGAAGACAGATACCAAAAAAATCATAATTGGGGCCGGTCCACTAACCCCTTTCCTCCCACAAAGAAACTGTCACCCAACTGGGATCCACAGCCAGAAGCAGTAGCCACCGCTTCAGACTCTCCTCCCAGCAAGCCCCAGTCCCTAAAGAATACAGGGACTTAGCTGAGGTTTTTAGTGAAGAGGAATGCAACATTTTACATCCCCCATTGAGCCACTGATTGTGCCATCAACTTAGAACCCAGGGCAAAACTGCCAAAACCAAAGATGTATTGCATGGCACCAGCTGAAATTACTGAGTTGAGAAAATACATTGATACCAATTTGGACAGGGGTTTCATTGAACCTGCTAATCTAGGTTGGCAGCTGCACTACTGTTTAAAGAAAAAAAGATGGCGGCTAGAGATTATGTATGGACTTTAGGGTGTGAACGGTGTACGCAGGGATGGGTTTCTACCAGTTTGCACCTATTCGCTAGAACTGGTTGTTAACATTCTAAGCAGTTCAGAGAACCAGTTGTTAGAAGAAATTACTGGCCTAATCCTGTAAGGAAGGCAGGAAGGAAACATTCTGGTGTTGCTTACAGAAACTGCCTCTCCGTTAATCCTTATTACATTCTTGGCAGGACTAGACTTCCTGTCTCAGGAACTTTTCTGGAGTTTTTTCCCCCTCCTTTGCTGGTACTTTGCTTGTGTGGAGTGACCACTCAAAATTACAATGGCAGTGAAAAAAGTGACTTATGACCATTTTTCACACTTACGACTGTTGCAGCATCCCCACAGTCATGGGAGGCCAGGCGAGGAGATGCGTGCCTCAATGTGAGTGATATTGAGTTGGCCAATAACATGACCAGCATGATCTAGTTTCTAACATTAGGAAATTAGGAAGCATTGCCAATGAGAGATTAGAACATTATTTGGAATTTTTTGCAGATTGTACATACAATGGAAGATGTGTATATAAAGGAAGGTGAAGTTAAAGAAAGTAAAGAAGAAGAGGAGGAAGAGGAGGAAGACCTATCTGTAAATAACATTACATACTGTTTAAATAGGCCTAATTTTAACATGAGTGATGTTGGTTTTAGACTAAACTCATATTAATGAGCAATAACAAAAGATGTAATACAGGTACTATAGTTCTTGTTTAATTATCACAATTAAGACCAGTAACTTGGTCATTAAGGAAACAAATACTAAGTGAAAACATACTTTTGCTTATGACTTTATTTGAGCTTTCCTTTATTTTACCTGCAAAGATTCTAAGTTACAGGATTGGTGGCAAAATTACCTTTTCATCACTATTGAATGGTTACTACTGAATGGCCAATTGCTAACTGAGGACTAATAATTGTTCTGAATTATTATGTTGTGAAATTATGCATAACTATTAATGTTAGGTTCCTTGACTTCGACCACTTACAATCTAAATTCTGGGCTCTATTGTGGCCATAAATTGAAAACTACCTGTAGTGAGAGTATTCTTGAACACAATTCAGAAGTTGTAACTGGTGTAGAATATAGCAACCAGTTTTCTGACTGATTTTGCAATATAATACTTATTCTATCAGAACTGCATATGCTACCAGTAGAACTCTATTTCAAGTTTCAAGTGAATACTTATAAAACCTCTTAGATTGTGTCCCTGTTATCAGTAGAACTGTTTTCTTTATGTAGAATCTATCTAATTTATATATGATAAGTGAGATGATTTTTTGCTAGTTGCCTAAAAATAAACTAGATGGAAATTAAGCTCATCAGCCCTATGAAACAATTTCTCTCCAAGTGTAATAATTTCTTTACTTTGATGATGTCCTAGAAAGTGATAAAATAGTTTTATTAAGGGGCATTTTAACTTGTATGACGGCAGCTATGCTTTTATTTATAGTTTTTTTATATATTCTGTTAATTATGTGGCTTTATAAATAGATTTTTGATTTTATTATTGTTTTATCTGTTGTAAAGCCCCTAGAATCAAAGAAATATGCAACATATAAATTTTAGTAAATAAACAGAGTGCCAGTTTGTTCACTGGAACCTACCATTCCAATTTACATAGGGTAGTATCCTAGCTAATGTTTCATTCTTAATTTATATAAGTAAATGCTGTCATTACTTCATGTAAATGATAAAAGTTGTAAATTTATTTTAAAAATAAGAATTTTAATAAGATTATTACAAATCTCAGAAATAGTTTTCCATAGCAATATTTTTAAAATAAAGATACTATATGAATATTTTTGTCATTGGAAGGAAGATTATGAAGATATGACTTCTTTCCTGATATGTTGTTCACAACTTAGAACACAATTGGAAAATGCACTTCGTGAAGAAAAGCAAGTATGTATAATGTTTATTGCACTGCATAAGCCTAAGATTTTATTTACTGTTAATTGTCATGTTTTATTATACTTGAAAAAAATTCAACTTTAGTATGTATAATAATAGCTACCAGTTTTTTAGAAATTTAGAATAAATATGGAAAGATAGATGTTTCAATAGAATGGTAAGCATATGGTAAATCCCCACCTCCATTGCAAAAATACAAAGATCAACCTAGCAAAAAAGTCTAGTAAGAGAAAACATTTCCTGCTTAAGCTGACATAAGGAGGTACGATATGGAAACCTAGACATTTCTCACTTTGTTATTTTGTATTTAAATTGTTATATAATAAAATTGATGGTGATTTATAATATTTTCTTTCTTAGATATTAGACTCATTGCTTAAGGTAAGAAAATTTTGATATGTATCTTTAAAATATGTTTTATTTTATAAAAATGTAATCTGTTAATATCTAATTTTATTTTATTTTTTTCTCAAGTGGTTTGAAAAGGAAGTCCATGAGATGGAAGAGGTAAACCTAGAATTTTGATTGTTAAGATCTAACACAAACTATTTAGAAATATGTGGTAACCATGTGAATTGTGTCTCTATATATTCTGCAGTTTCTTTATGTTAAATTTTAGAATCTAAATAAAAGGACACGATATAAGGATTAGCCATTCTTACTTGAGCAGGTACAACAGACATTTGGGATTAATCTTAATATAATTAAAAGTGTTTCTATAATAATGGCTAATACTAATATATGAACATTTCTCAAAACAAAAATGAGTAATTTGAATTATTTTATTTGAAATCTTTTGCAATTATTTTCTTTTCAATACTGGCCATCTTCAGTTTATTCTTTCATTCAATTGCGTTCAATTCTCAGAGAGGAAAAAATAAATTTGAAATTTCCAAATTCCATCCTTGAAAGATGGAGGTTGAAATCCCCTAATCATAGTAGTTAATACTCCAACACTAATTAAATGATGAAATCAGGAAGGGGTTTCTAATATGTCCCTGCACTCCAGCTTTAGATGCAAATATTCACAACTGATTGTTTATAGACAAAATTATCACCCTCCCTGTTCCCAAACTTGGCTGCTGTAGAACTCACCTATTAGGGTTAGGGTTAGTACTCTAGTTAGTATAATTAGTCTTTCCAATGTTATACATAAAGCAAATATTTCCAGAGACTTAATAATGTTCTTTGCCATCAGATATTTATGTGCCTCTTCATTACTCCAGTGTCCTTTTCTCACCAATAACCCCATTAAAAAATCTTTTTACTTTCTCCACTTTTTCCACCTATGCTAATCCTGTCTCCCATTGAGGGGGAGAATACAACACTTATGTCTAGTTGCAATTGTAATGGCCAAACAGACATGAACAAATTCAGATATAAATTTCTCTCCAGGACGTTTCTACACCTATATCATGGAAAATATACTACATCTGGAGCATCCAAAATTGCTCTGTGCTGTTTCAAGCCATCACCAAAGGATCCCCAAACTGACGATCTTCTTGCATGTAGTTTGATTTATCACAATTTTAGTGATAGTACTTTTCCAACTGCAGTGAGATACTCTGATGGTCTCCATCATCCCACCTCTCAGATTGCTTATTACAGTAGAAAACAATCACATTCCATAAAAATAACCACCTATTTTTTTTATCCAGCTTGGCTATCCTGGCTCTCAGTTGAAGCCATTCCAAAATAACATTTTTCCACTGCATGTCAGTCACCTTCTCATTATTAGTAAAGTTTACTTTTTAGTTCATTTTAAGAAATTGATTTATTTATGCCTGGTGGGTTGGTAGGTGGTTTATTAAAAATGCATTAATTTTTTTTCAGGTAAATGCAATATTTTAATTATTATTATACATAATTAAAAGTATGAAAGTTTGCTTTTACATTATAAGTAGATCTTGACATATGACCACAGTTCAGCCCAACATTTCTGTAGCAAAGTGAGATATATGTTAAGTGAATTTTGCTCCATTTTATGAGCTTTTTTGCCAAAGTTAAATGAATCACTGCAACTGTTAAGTTAGTAACATAGTTGTTAAATGAATCTGGCTTCTCTATTGACTTTGCTTATCAGAAGGTTGCAAAATGTGATCACATGGTCCTGGGACACTGCAACTGGCATAAATATGAGTCAATTGCCAAGAGGCTGAATTTTGATCATGTGATCATGGGGATGTTGTAATGGTCATAAGTAGGAAAAGCAGTAATTAATCACTTTTTCCAGCACTGTTGTAATTTTGAACTGTCACTAAGCAAACTGTTGTATGAGGGCTATCCACAAAATAGATTACGTTTTTGTCTGTAGCAAGAAGGGGCGGAGCTAGCATGGCCATCTTTGGTCGGTGCGTCCGCCGCTCAGTCTGCATCTAGTCGTGCTTGTGGGAGGTTTGTATCGTTGCCCGTTATTTCACAGCAAACGTTTGAAATGTGTGCTGCAATTGAAAATCCCACGAGTTGTGAGGTGCGATCAGTGATAAGGTTTTTGTTGGCAAAAAACCATAAACTGATTGAAATTTTTTGGCAACTGTGTGAAGTGTACGGGGACAACATCATCACTGAAGGTGGAGTGCGCCAATGGTGCATTAAGTTTAAAAATGGACGAACTAACATTCATGATGAACAGAGGAGTGGACGTCCGAGCATTGTGACTGATGAACTGGTCGCGAAAGTCGATGTCAAGATTCGTGAAAACCGCCGTTTCACAGTAACGGAACTTTCGCTTAGTTTTCCACAAATTTCACGCAGTTTGTTGCATGAAATTGTTACACAAAAGCTAGGCTACCACAAATTTTGTGCAAGATGGGTGCCAAAAATCCTGACAGAAAACCACAAGAGCCAGTATATGGCCGCATCATTGACATTTCTGTACTCTTACGACAAAGATGGAGATTCATTTCTTGATTGAATCATAACTGGAGACGAGACTTGGGTCAAACGTGAACAGCGAGATCAAATTGCAGTCTATGGAGTGGGGGCACACAAATTCCCCCCAAAACCAAGAAAATGTTTGCAAACGTTCCCTGCAAGGAAGATTATGGCGACTGTTTTTTGGGATAGGCAAGGTGTGCTTCTTATCGATTTTCTGGAACATGGTGCAACAATAAACTCTGTGAGGTATTGTGAAACGTTGCAAAAACTAAGAAAAGCAATTCAGAACAAGCGTAGAGGAAAGTTAAGCTCAAAAATTTTGTTTTTGCATGACAATGCCCGACCACACACAGCAAATCGCACTTGAGAAGTCCTGAATGCTTTCAAGTGGGAGATTTTTCCTCACCTGCCCTACAGCCCCGATCTTGCACCAAGCGACTACCACTTGTTTCCGAGGATGAAGACCTGTCCTTTGACGACGACATGGAATTGCGGACGGGCATGACTGACTGGCTCAAATCTCAGGCGGCTGAATTTTATGACAATGGAATTACAAAGCTTGTTCACTGCTATGATAAGTGCCTCAATTTGTTCGATGAATATGTTGAAAAGTAGTATTTAAGTGTCACTTTCAAGTGTATATAAGAATTTTTTTTCCCTACACTTTGTTTTTTTTCTATCACAAAACGTAATCTATTTTGTGGATAGCTCTCGTACATCAAGGACTACCTGTATATGTTTTACAATAGCTTAATATTGTAGAGACTATTCTACTATAATAAATACAACAGCTTAATATTGTAGAGACAATTCTACTGTAATAAAGTACATTATTTGAAACAGTGAATGTGGTGCTTCTTTCAAGCTAATTGAGAAAACCTCTGTTACTATACAACAGATTTACGTTAATATTTTGTTATCTAACTATATTTCAGTTAGGTGAGGAAGAAATTATCCCAGACTGGCAAGTTCCTCTAGCAGATAAAAGCATAACAAATAATATCAATCAGTTACTGAATCGCATTCAAAAACTTGAAGAACTAAAAGGCCGTGTTCAAGAACTACCCAAACTTATTCAGTTTTCTATACCTAAACAGTAAGAATACCATGAAACATAGTTATGTTTAAGACATTATGATATCAATAATACAAAATATGTTTATTATAAAGATAGTTATAAATATTATTAAACTTAAATGGTATATAGAAAGTACAATATTTTGTTTACTAGGCACTGCCACAGTATATTTCCTTCATAATTTAATTATATAATTGTTATATTAAATTTTCTCGAATAAATAAATGCCTAATATAAATTGTTTTGTTTATTGTTTCTCTGATTTCTACAAGTAATAGGGAAATTAACGGGAAGCACTGTTCTCTGCAAGAATGAAAAGACCAAAGATGCATAGTTTCCAGGGTTTTTTTAATTAGATATTGTAGAAGGCAATGATAGTAGTAATACATTCTCTATATGTCCTGTCTAACTATATACACACAGCATACATGCACGTGTGCGCGTGCACCACACACACATTGTGATTACTTATTGAGGCATTGCAAGTCCCTAATGTTATTTCCCAAGTCCGTTCACAAGAAAGGTAAACTTGCAATAAGTCTGAGTTTGCAAAAAGGGATGAAGTGAAAGGCAAATACAAAGTCTGAGGGCAAGGCACAAGTCTGCAGGTTCACACACAAAGTCCAAACACAATAACTAAAGTCAAGGTCCAGGTTCAGAATCCAAGCCAAATCCAAGGTTCAATCACAAGGTCAGCAAAAAAGGCATAGGTCCGGAATCATGAAAGGAGGAATAAAAAAATTGGAGGACAAGCACTGCAGGAAACAGGTGGTTGTTTCTTATGTTACTTTGCTCCAAGCATCAGTTAAGTAGCTACCAGCCAGTCCAGCTCATTAGGAGGGGTGTGGCCACCTCTTTGCAAGTAGCCTTGCCAGCCACTGCTGTGCCTCCCTCTGTTTGGCCCTGCATGGCCTGGGATCTGTGAAAGAGATAGTTCCTCATCCTCACTGCAGCTGCACCTCTTCTTTGCCTTGTGCTTCTCACTGGTCATCTGAGCTTCCTGGCTGCAGCTGAATCTCTTCTCTTTCCTTTTCAGCCAGGCATTCATCCAGTTGCCTTTCTGACAGCATTTCTGAAATTCTCGGCCTCTCTTCCTCTTCTTGCCCATCCACTCCTGGTACAGAGCCCCTGTGTCTTCCTGATTGTGCTGTCTTGCTCACTCACACACACATATACGTAACCATGGCTTAGTGGTTTTACACAAGCAGACCAATGATAGTCCACAGAGCAATGGCCAACAAGTCCACAGGGCACTTGAAAGCTTCTAAATCAATATAAACACACTAGGCAAAATTAAATCCACAATACAAGAGGGTTCATGAAGCAAGTTCAGAGTTCACAAGGCACAATCCACAATCCAAGTAAAGGCACAATCTAAAGCAAGGCAGGGATCACAACGATCAGAAAACACACATCTAGGAAATGAATACATCGCCTCCATCTGTCTGCTGTGCTAAATAGCCAGCTTTTGGTACAGCCCATCAAGAAGTGTAAGGCTTTCTCCTTGCGAGTAATCTGCCTGACCTTCACTGCTCCTGCCTTTTCTCTGTACTTCTTGTTCTTGGATCAGGTGCAGAAGACTGTTCCTCTTCCTCATCCCTGACTGGCTATAGCTGCATACTTTCTCCATCTGATGCCTCAGGGCTATCCTACTGTAGCTGTGCTTCAGCCAAATCACTGTCAGTTGATTGCTTGGAGCCACTGACCAATTCCCCTCCTGATGTGTCAGGAACTGGTTCATCCTCCCCCACGCTGATATCTGAAAAGGTATCTGGGGAAGCATTTGGGAGAGGCGTCACACTGGTGCTGCACTGTGCCTTACTCTGAAGTCCTGAGAGCCAGTTCTCCCTGCTCTGAGGAAGCACAGCACAGCATAGCATAGCATAGCATGTATACTATAATACATACAGCAAATAATTCAAAAAGTGATTTATAAAGTAACCCATATTCCAGAATTGAAAATAATTTGTGTAGCATCAGTGTGACAATTAATAATTTTGACTGTATTCTTAGCTCATTTTTAAAAGCATCATTAATACCCAACAAATTGCTGAGATTTTGCCATATATATTGCCTGCATATGGGTACACTCAGTTCAGGCAGGTTGCCACAAGGCATGTACGGTTTCTCCTAAGATTTAAACATGCACAGCACTAATTAGTTGGAGTCATAGTTGAGGTAATATTCCGTCTTAAAATAATCACAAATAATCAGACATTTTCTCCTATGCTTGTTCTTTCTCTTACTATTACTCCTGTCCTGATTCCCACAGATAATTAATTCCCCCATATTACTCGTCTATACTAAATAGTATTTTCTGCATAGGTTTATGTTCCTATAAACCAGGCATGGGCATTTTATGGCCTGTGGGCCATATTGGACCCTTTAGCTGTCCCTATTCAGCCCATGGTGGCAGCAATATCAGCAATAGGGTAGCAGAGGCGGTGATGGGATAGTGTCAGTGGGGAGGGATAAGGACATTGATAGTTCTCCACAGCAGAGCCAGTTTCTCATATAGCCTCTTGGAAAAATTAATTGCCCACCCATGCTAAAACCAATTATATAAGTTTTCACTATGACAGTATAAGGGCAACAACTTACACTAATGCTCTAAGTCAGGGGTGTCAAACTTGCGGCCCGGGTGTTGACGATGCCCGCCCCTGTTTTAATGAAGGGAAAAAAAGTCATGATAAGTCACATGATGACAATGTGATGCCGCAAGTTTGACACCTCTGCTCTAGGTCAAAGGTTGTCAACTTTTTAGGTAGTGCAGGCAAGGCAGGTACATAAAACATGTAGTGCCTTTATTGAAGTTTATAGTAACAGAATATTTGCAATTTAGAAGAAGTAGTTCTTTATGGCTCTTCTAAACCATAGCAGAGTGGGGGCTGTTTGGATCTCAAGGGAAAAATCATTCTAGAATGCAGGCCCCTCTACAGAGAAGTATTCACTGATCTGTCAGTTACCAGTGAACTTCCAATGCTGAAATGAATATTTCAGATATTATTTCTAATATTCTAGGTCTCTAATTTTTATATTGACTCTCAGTTTTCATATTAACCCTTCTTTCACTATTCTGAGGATTATATTTTGTGACATAATTATTTTTGAAAACAACACTAGAAGGTAATAATTTTTTTATGGAGTAATGTCAAAAATAACAGGAATTACCAAAAGTATTGTATATAATATAAGCAATATTTAACCCCTTGTTATTTGGTGTTTTCTTATTTGGTACTTGTTCTTAAAGCACTGAAGATTAATAATGTATTTTACATAATATATATTCAAATTATCATTAACCTATTATATTATATTACTTAATGTGTTATATTAACAAAGTAGGATTTGGTATTTTTAACATAAATAAACTGTGACATGTAAAAATTATGTGTAGAACTTTGCTAAATGAACATTGAATTTGTAAATCTAGATTTAATACTACCAATAATGTACATTTTGACAGGGAAAAGAAAAAAACAGTAAGCCCAACACCTCCCACTCCAAAAGATCCAAAAAATATAATTGAAGGTAATAATTCTGATTTATTATGGACATCAAGGCCTCAAAAAATAATTTTGAAAAATGAGTTTGACTAATGTGGACAAAAGTAAAAATGCTGGAGAGTAAAGTTGGATAGGCAGAACTGACTGAGTAGACTAGAGGCTGGGAAAATAATGGATAATTTGTAAGAAAATATGTTTTATTATGATGCATTTGAATCTTATATATGTAATCCTCAGGTTCCCCAGTTCATTTAATGACTGTTCAAAATTATAACAGCCCACCCCGCCCAACTATATATGACCCTGTATCAAAGTTAGGAATTGTACAGAACTCCCCACTGTCAATTGCCCTTATGACCAACCACAGGGATTCTTCAGCACATCCACCTATCCTCCACCTCCCCAAATCCTGCCATGCCAGGTCTCCAAGAGCACTGGGTCTGCTTTGCCTCCCTCCCCTAAGTTCTCCTCCAGCCTTCACAATGCTCTCTTATCTTATGAAGATCTGCAGAGCTGAGGAGGTGGAGGAAAGGAAGGAGACCAGGCCTGTTTTGAGAATTCCAGAAATGTCTTTTTTCTTTTCTCTTTTTAAAAAACATGTTTATTTATTTTTTTATTATCAAAGATAAAATACAAAACAAAGAAAAGGAAAAAAACTAACAATCATACAACACTAATAACAACAACAAAATATGTATACAAAAAAAAAGATTTTTTAATCCTCAGGACATGTTTTGAAACCTTTGTTGCTGTAATTCTGAGCAAAGGAGCTCTTCTCCCTCCTTTTACATCACTTCTATACCCAGGGGTGGGATTCAATTTTTTTAACAACCGGTTCTGTGGGCATGGCTTAGTTGGTGGGCATGGCTTCATGGTCATGTTATTGGCTGGGTGTGGCCAACTCAATATCACTCCCAACGAGGCACACATCTCCTCACCTGGCCTCTAATGACTGTGGGGATGCTGCAACAGCTATAAGTGTGAAAAATGGTCATAAGTCACTTTTTTCAGTGCCATTGTAACTTTGAATGGTCACTCCACACAAGCAAAGTACCAGCAAAGGAAGGGAAAAAAATCCAGAGAAGTTCCAGAGACAGGAAGTCTAGTCCTGCCAAGAATGTAATTAGGGTTAACGGAGAGGCAGTTTCTGTAAGCAACACCAGAATGTTTCCTTCCTGCCTTCCTTACAGGATTAGGCCAATAATTTCTTCTAACAACCGGTTCTTCGAACTGCTTAGAATGTTAACAACCGGTTCTAGCGAATAGGTGCGAACTGGTAGAATCCCACCCCTGTCTTTACCTTTTAACTCTGCATTGTTTGTTCTCTGTGTGGTCAGAGCCAGCTCAGATTTCAAAATGCATACTTCCTGCTTTGCCATGTTATTTCACAAACAGACTTTCCCTCATCATGCTGTGGCTGGATGGAAAAAACCTTTCAGCCACTTTTTGACATCTGAACTGCCTCTGCGGACAAAAAACAAACTATACAGAATTAAGATGCAAAGATATGATGAAGAGGCAATAATATCTACATGTAGATGAATAAAATAGGTGAGGGTGGGGATCTCTATGGTGTTCCAGAGACTACAAATATTTTTAGTATCTTCCAGAGAATTGAACTTTCATATTATAAAAAGTCGTATGTAAATGATTTTGGAAGTTAGAACACTACTTAAAACTAGTTACTTCTGCGGGCAGTGAATGAACTACAGTTGCGTTAACTGAACACTTTCAATGTCACCTTCAATGTCACCGCAGTAACAGAGAAAGATAGAATTTGTCCTCCTTGATATGTCAGAACATTACGTAAACAACTACCTATCCAGAGTATTCTTTATTGCAAAAGTTCAGAAGTGATAACCCTATTGTATAACTGAAATTCCTACAACAAAATTTGTTTGTTCCTTTTCCTAGAAGTTCCTAGAATAAAACTAAAGTTCCCAGTACTAAGAAATATTTCAATAGCGACTTGGATTTTCTGGTATTTCTATCATGAATTGTTAGAATAACAGAATTCTCTTCATGGTATCTTTTATCAAGAACATCTGAGGATCATTTGCTCAGTTATTAGATTCCTGTCAGCACATACCGTATATACTCAAGTATAAGTTGACCCGAATATAAGCCGAGGCACCTAATTTTACCACAAAAAACTGGGAAAACTTATTGACTCGAGTATAAGCCGAGTTTTTCAGCACGTTTTTTTGTGCTGAAAAAAAACCCCTCGGCTTATACTCAAGTGAAATTCCCTCTGAAAAAAAAAATGGTGTGGAGCTCCGGAGCTGGGCAGCCACTTCCCTGCTTCCGTGTTTCCTTTGCAACTTGTAAGCATGGGGGTAATTGGAAGCAGAAACGTTCTTGCATGAGGATATATTGTTTTTTCTTTATTTAACTGTTTTTAGGGGTGGGGGAAAGACCCACCGTCATGTGAGAATGCTCAGACACGAAATCTATCCGCCTGAAAATAAGTGTGTGTGTGTGTGTGGGGGGGGATTTTAACAGAGGGAAGACATAGGGAGAAGGCAAAAGCGACGGAAGATCCTTCAGGGGAAACTTAGGGGGAGACTCACCCTTGGTCCAGATTAGCCCCCTTCCCCGCCCCTAAGGAAGCAGAGGCAGCCAGCAAGGGCAGGCAAGCCCCGCTTCGCGGACTCCGTCCGTCCTCGCTCCCACCCACCCAAAGCCACGAAGTCTCCCAATCGCGCAGCCCAGAATCGCCCTCCCCTCAGGGGGTAGCAAAGACGCCCGGTGTTTCCTGAAACAAGAAGCTCCGCCGTGCAATGAAAGTGCCCTGGCTCTTGGTTCAGAAAACAATGCGAGCCAAGGTGGCTTCGTTTCCTCAGCCCTAGCTGCTTTCAGTCTGCTTGGGAGGAGAAGGAGGTGGCGGCAGCGGCTCGCGTTGTTTTCTGGGCTCTAGGCTCGCGATCTCAGAAAACAATGCGAGCCGAGGTGGCTTTGTTTCCTCAGCCCCAGCTGCTTTCAGTCCACTTGGGAGGAGGAGGAGGTGGCGGCAGCGGCTCTCATTGTTTTCTGGGCTCTAGGCTCGCAATCTCAGAAAACAGCGCAAGCTGAGGTGGCTTCGTTTCCTCAGCCCCAGCTGCTTTCAGTCCGCTCGGGAGGAGGGGGAGGAGGTGGTGGCAGCCTCCCCCTCCTCCCGAGTGGACTGAAAGCAGCTGGGGCTGAGGAAACGAAGCCACCTCGGCTCATGTTGTTTTCTGAGCCCGCGAGCCTAGAGCCAGGGCGCTTTCATTGCATGGCGGAGCTTCTTGTCTCAGGAAACACCGGGTGTCGTTGCTTCCCCCTGAGGGGAGGGCGATTCTGGGCTGCGCGATTGGGGGACTTCGTGGCTTTGGGTGGGTGGGCGGGTGGGAGCGAGGACGGACAGAGTCCGCGAAGTGGGGCTTGCCTGCCCTTGCTGGCTGCCTCTGCTTCCTTAGGGGCGGGGAAGGGGGCTCATCTGGACCAAGGGTGAGTCTCCCCCTCAGTTTCCCCTGAAGGATCTTCCGTCGTCGCTTTTGCCTTCTCCCTATGTCTTTCCTCTGTTAAAATCCCCCACACACACTTATTTTCAGGCGGATAGATTTCGTGTCAGCATTCTCACATGACGGTGGGTCTTCCCCCCCCTCTAAAAACAGTTAAATAAATAAAAAACAATATATCCTCATGCAAGAACTTTTCTGCTTCCAATTACTGCCATGCTTACAAGTTGCAAAGGAAACACGGAAGCAAGGAAGCGGCTGCCCAGCTCCGGAGCTCCACACCATTTTTTTTTCAGAGGGAATCTCACTCGAGTATAAGCTGAGGGGGGGGTTTTCAGCACAAAAAATGTGCTGAAAAACTTGGCTTATACTCGAGTATATATGGTAAATAGAAAATTTAATATAATCATAAATAGAAAATTTAATTTAATATAATCAGAAGTTTTAATCAGAGTTATAGAAAAAAGTATTTTTTATTTTTTTAACGGATTATATATATTTGACAAATAACTAAATAGTTATAATAAACTTTGTTTTAGAACTTGCTACAAAACATTTCACTGAAGATGTGTTCAATATGGTACAGGTTTTCCAAGAAGATTCAGGACAACCACGTAAGTGCTTCAAAATATAAAATATTAAAACATGAAAAAGAATATAAGATATTTTAGGAAAACTGGCTCAAATCAACTTCTAAATTGTTAGGCTACAAGTTTAGCTGACATGATTTTTAACTATCATGAATTTTTGTTTGCAAAAACATAGAAATGCCAAATTAAGAAAATATATGTTAGATCATTATGCAATCTATAGTAGTTAATTCTGATGTCTAGAAATTTAGCTGGGATTTAAATTAAGATATGTAATTTAAAAATCTGACTGATGAAATTGGGTTTTTTGAAAATTTGACATTAATAATGCCATATGGTAAAATATACTAGACAATGAATTTATGCTTAAAAAAACAGGCATAACTGATAAAAACAATATGGATAAGCACAAAGCACTACAAACTTTAAAATTGCAATATATAGGCTATAATACTCTAAGGTTAACCATTTGTACTAGAAACCATTTTTGGTTTTCCTAGATTTAATATCACTGATTTATTTTGGAGAGAGAAAGAAATATAGCTAAATAAACAGCTTTATCCTTAGTGATGCAGTCAATTTATTTAAAAACATAATCAATATTAAAGAATAAAATCGCTCCTGGAATACTCACTTTGGAAATGTTTCGTATCTGGTAGTCAAGATTATTATAATTTTACTACAACTTTAAGAGATTTTGAATTTTTATGTTTGATCAACCAACCTACGGGTAGATAAGAGATCCTTTTTGTAGAAGATTATTAATTTCTTGAAAAAAGGATATTAGAAACTATTAAAATTGATATGATCATATAACAGTTCATTGATTAACAACATCCAGCTCATAAAACTTTTTGTCTTTATCCTTGTTGAAAAGAGAAGGCAAGATTTGATCCCTTTCTGTTTAATAGCAGGGCTTACTGAACTATCTGCGGAGATAGAAAATTCGTTATTTTTATTTACCGTGTTTCTCCAACAATACGGCCTCCACCAATAGGAAGGCCCAGCATGTTTTATTGGCATAAAATCAAATTAAGGCCCTCCCCCAAATTAAGGCCTATATTAAACATGTGAAATGGGGGGAATGGTGGGGGGGCTTGCTGTTAGGAAGTACTTTTGTTGCATACCTGGATATGGTGCTTCCTGCATTGGTGGGGCACTTCATATCGGGAGACCTTCCGCCACCATTGCTTTACCTTCTCCCCGTGTTACCGCCGCATTTAGAGCAACGCTGTGGCATTTGGTGCAGCCATGCGCAGCCAGCCAGGGCTCCTCCCTGCAACTGGAACCCTGCAGAGACACTTGGCTTCAGGCGCTCCTGTCGCCGCCTTCCCTTTGCCTTCGAAGGTAAAGCCAATTCTTTTAAAAATGACACCCTACTACAACAAAGCCTCCCCTGCCTGAGAGGGCAGCCTAGCCCCATATGGGTAGGTGAATCTCCCGGGGCTGCAGTGCAGGATCGGTCCACCGCAGGAGAAGCACCCAGCCGCCATCCCTGCCTGGCGCCGGGCAGAGCGCAAAGAGCTTCTCCTGGGGTGCCCAGCACAGCTGACAGGCGGGCCCTTCTGCCTGGCGGCAGAGCTCTCACCAAGGCAGCGAGCGTCTCCCCTCTGGGCCCTCTGGTCATCCCACAAGGGCCACGCCAGAGCCGTGTGGGCTGGGCAGAGCTGGGAAAGCGAGTCGTAGGTGCGCGTCCTCCTGCCAAGCGAAAGAGCTGGGCTGGCCCAAGCTTGGTTTCCTTCCCAAATCCCTCCAGCCTGAACCCGAAGGGGCCACCGGGAGAGGCTGCCCGAGGCAGTGATAATGCCTACCCATCTGTGAACAGGGAGGCAAGGCGACGGCCTGCGCCGTATCCTCCGAGCTGAGCCCCACTGAGTCAGCGCCTCTGCCTGATGCCCGTTCCTCTGCAGCATTTGGAACTGCCGGCACATTTGGAGATGCGTGGGGACGGGGGCAGGCTGGGTGAGGGGTGGAAAGGACGGGCGGCTTCGGGCTCTCTCTGCCAGCCAAGGAAGCAGCGCTGCCATCACCTCGCCTCCCTGTCCATGGGCAGGCACTCGCTGCCTTGGTGAGAGCTGTGCCGCCAGGCAGGAGGACCCGCCTATTAGCTGCACTGGGCATCCCCTGAAGCTCTTTGTGCTCTGCCCGGCGCCAGGCAGGGACGGCGGCTGGGCGCTTCTCCAAAGGTGGGCCAATCCTGTGCTGCGGCCCCAGGAGATTCGCCTCCCCACATGGGGTTGGGCTGCCCTCTTGAGCAGGGGAGGCTTTGTTGTAGTAGGGCATCGTTTTTAAAATAATTGGCTTTACCTTCGAAGGCAAAGGGAAGGCGGCAACAGGAGTGCCTGAAGCCGAATGTCTCCACTGGACTCTGGTTGCACGGAGGAGCCCTGGCTGGCCGCGCATGGCTGCGCCAAATGCCGTGGTGTTGCTCTAAATGCCGTGGCAGTAAGGGAGAAGGGAAAGCAACGGTGGCGGAAGGTCTCCTGATACGAAGTGCCCCACCAATGCCAAGGTCAACATCCAAGCTGTTGCTGCCCACCCACCCGAGGATGCAGGAGGGGGAAATTAAGTCACCCCCAAAAGACAGCCTAGCCATTTTTGGGGGGGTCAAAAAAAAAAAAGGCCCACCCTTATTTTGTGAGAAACACGGTACTTTCCATTTAAGAACTGCAAATTATTCTGACAAATGCAGAATGTAGTACTGCCTGTAGAATCTTTAACACTGAGCCTAAGTTTTATGCTGAATGGAATATAAACCTATATGGCACAAAATTTCAGTTTTTGATCTCAAGTTAGTAAATATTTGATTCAAATCCAAATATTTGATTCACATTCATATTATAAATATATAGATACTAGGCAGGGATGGGATTCAAAGTTTTTAACAACTGGTTTTGTGGACATGGCTTAGGTGGTGGGCGTGGCTTGGTGGTCATGTGACTGGGTGGACATGGCTTGGTGGTCATGTTATTGGCTGGGTGTGGCCAACTCAGTATCACTCACATCAAGGTACACATCTCCTCGCCTGGCCTCTCCTGACTGTGGGGATGCTGCAACAGTCATAAGTGTGAAAAATGGTCATAAGTCACTTTTTCCAGTGCCATTGTAACTTTGAATGGTCACTCCACACAAGCAAAGGAGGGGAAAAAACCTTCAGAGAAGTTCCTGAGACAGGAAGTCTAGTCCTGCCAAGAATGTAATAAGGGTTAATGGAGAGGCAGTTTCTGTAAGCAACACCAGAATGTTTCCTTCCTGCCTTTCTTACAGGATTAGGCCAGTAATTTCTTCTAACAACCAGTTCTCTGCTTAGAATGTTAACAACCGGTTCTAGAAAATAGGTGCGAACCTGTAGAAGCCCATCCCTGATACTAGGTGAAAAAGCTCTTAAAGTATTGAAAAGTTCAATTTAGTTTTATTTTTTTTATTTCAATCAGGGCTAGACGAAAGTAAACTATTAGTTGCTCTATTGCCAAATCAGTAAGTTATTCTCCCTCAAGCAAGAAAAGAGTATTATGTTTTCTCTAGCTCCTCCTCCTCCTCCTCCTCCTCCTCCTCCTCCTCCTCCTCCTTTTTGGCAAATTACAAATCAAATAAATGGCCAGTAGTTTAGACAAAAAAGGTTTTTTTGTTCACCAATTAGCCAATCAGACACAGAGAGAAAATACTTAGCTCAGGAGTGATCCACGTCATAAATTTAGTATCCTGCCACATCAGCCAGAAACTTGAAATAAGTTAACAGTAATAGGTAGATGACAAAGAATTGGAGTTTGACTATTGGAAAAGAATTGGAGTCTCATATTTCTTATGCAATTTATAAGCTGTGTGGTATACATATTATGAACTGCATGAGGATACATGTGGTGATGATAAGAAGGGAGATCCTATTAATAATATGTTAATAAATACTTAACTGTGAAAAATAGAATTTTTTTATATGAGGTATGCTTTTTAATGACAGGTAGCCCATAATTAACCACTATCCATTCAGCAAACTTTTGAAGCTATCATGATGTTGAACAAAGGGTCATTAGAACTGGTCCTTGAAGTTCTGACCATTCCAACACTCCCATGATCTTGTGATTGTGATCTGGGCTCTTTGCAACAAGTGACCCCCATGCTTACAATGGTTGCAATGCCCTGATCATGATTTGTGATTTTCCTTGCTGGATTCCCACAAACAGACTCAATTGGGAAGCTGGCAAGAAAGATCACAATTTGTTCAAGTAAGTCTCCACCCAGCTGTATAATCCTTCTCAGTCCCTCTATACTCATACTGTGGTTTGCTGGCCATACCCACTTCTTGTAAACCTTCCTTGGGCTTTGTACACCCTTCCCAACCATCTGCATATCCTTCCTCTTTATATCATAGCCATTCCAAGCCATGAGGTTGGAACATGGCTCCATAACCAGTCTCTCAGCTCCTTGCTCCCTCTCACCCCTGGCAGCAGCCACTTACCTGCCTACTGATCTTGAAAGCTGCCTATGACTTCCCTCTGATCATTAAAAGTTGAAAGGAAGTTGCAAGGAAGCGTGTGTTTAAATCCCATTATGCTTGTTTCTGGATTGCGATTGCTAAGTGATATTATCACATAACATTCTGTTTTATGACTAAACGCTTAGCAATTGAAACTTTGGTCTAATATTAGCTATGACAGTTGTGACCCTTTGTTAATTGACTTGGCACTGGATTACCTCTAGTTTGTGTTATGGAACTTGGCAATAATAATAATGTCATTGTAGAGTGATAGTAGCAGCAGCAACATTTTTGACCAATCTTTTGCAATTGTTTGACTTCTATGTCTACTTCTAGATAAAAATGTTAGATATCATCTAATAATTATTTTTTATAATTGTACAGAAACAGTTGAGATGATGAACAATCGCATGATAGAAATAATGAAAGTATTTGAAAGACAAACGAACAAGTTACACAGGTAAATCCAACATGATGAAAATGGGAAAAGGAAAGTTTCATTTTATCTTGTGTATTTTGGGGTAATTTATATGACATGGCACAAATAATTAAGAGGCTCCTAGAAAAGAAACCTGCAAAATTTCACAAAATAATGTGCAAAAGTAAGGAAGTTAAAGTGAATAATTATATCTGTCTTTCTGTCTCAATATTATATATTTTATATATAAATATTTTATGCATATACATATACATACATATATAATATTTATAATTATAAAATATGTTATATTGAATGTATGTTTGTTGTGAATATCATTGCTTTCTGTTCAATTTACACTAACTCCCAGTGGTAAGATTCAAATTTTTTTACTACCAGTTCTGTGGGCGTGGCTTGTTTGTTGGGTGTGGCTTGGTGGTCATGTGACTGGGTGGCCGTGGCCAACTCAGCAAGGTGGAATGGCACCTTGCTGCCAGTGACGTTGAGTTGGCCATGCCCACTCAGTCACATGACCAATGCTACAGAGGCAGGGTGATTTCCTACATACCTTCCCCCCCCCCCCCTCCACCCTTGGGCTGACACAAAAAAGCCTAACTAAAGATTCTCACTGCCTGCCGAGTCTGCCTGCCAAATGGGTTTTGTTTTGGAGTGATTTTTGTTTTGTTTTTTGACAGAAACCCCTTGGAGATAAATTTGCACTGCCAAATCTGACTATACCTCATTGTTGCAGCACTACCTGTTGCTGCTGCGGGCACTGCTGCGGCTGTCTGTCTGCCCAAGTAAAGAACCGCACCAGCTCAGGGCAACTGAGCGACTTCCCCAAGCAGTCAACTTTGCTCTATCTTGCTCCAGTTAGGTGCTCCCGGGGTGTACAAGGAGCATTTTAAAAGTCAGAGAACTTTGCCCAAGACTTCTCATGAATTCAGGGGCTACACCTCTCCCAATGATGAGTTGGCAGCAATCAACTTTAAAAGCGCCCCCATGGAAGAAACCAAGAATGAGAGCAAAAGTAGCGGGGGTGACGGGCGTGTGATGGGTCCCTCTGCAGTCCCCTCCTGGGTGACAGCCAGGGCTTTGGCACCTCCTGTTTTCCTCAGAGACACGTTGTCTGCCTCCCTTCACACTCCTTGTGGAGAAGCACACATGCCCATCACCCCCGCAGCCACTACGTTTGCTCTTGTTTCTTGGGGGCATTCTTCTTCCATGGGGGTGCTCTTAAAGTCGACCAGAGCACGCTTTCTTCTCCTGGCAGACACACCTCTTCCAGCGTGGCTTGGCCACATGTCCTGGGGATTCTTGCTCCTCTTGTTGTGAGATGTCTGCAGTTGCTGCGTGCTTTTTTTGGTACGGCTGCAATCCAGCAGCCGCACCGAAAAAAGCACACCCTGTTCTATTTCCCAGCAAGTCCAAGCAGCCGGCGCATAGAACAGGGCTGCGCCGGACCATTGGAGAAGTGAAGCAAAGCCGGAGATCAGTAGCCACCTCTCGTAGCACAGAAATCCTCCCTGAATTGGCCAGCTAGTCTTCTCTTTCTCCACCTGTTTGTTTTGTATGGCCGAGGAGGAAGAGATCAGCTGGCCAAAGGGGCGGCTAGAGGAGACTGTTTTTCGGTCTCCAGTTGCCTTTTCAGCACAGCAATCCTCCCCAAATTGGAAGGCTGGTCATCTCCTTCTCTGCCTATTTGTTCTGTATGGCCAAGGAGAAGGAGACCAGCTGGCTGATTTGGGGAGGATTTCTGTGCTGAAAAGGCAACTGGAGACCAAAAAATAGTCACCTCCAGCCACCCCTTTGGCCAGCTGATCTCTTCCTCCTCAACCATACAAAGCAAACAGGCGGAGAAAGAGAAGACCACCTGGCCGATTTTGTGCTACGAAAGAGGCTGCTACTGATCTCTGGCTTCACTTCACTTCTCCAACGGTCCGGCGCCACCATGTTCATGTGCTGGCTGCTCAGAGTTGCCGGGCCCGGCACATAGAACAAGGTGTGCTTTTTTCGGTGTTGGCTGCTGGACTGTAGCTGCACTGAAAAAAGCATGCAGCAGCTGCAGGCATCTCACAACAAGGGGAGCGAGGAGTCCTGGAATATCCGCCCACCTACCTGCTGGGAGAAGGAAGAAAACGTGTTCCAGGTGGGTGGATGTCCCAGGGCTGCTTTACATGTGCACTGCATGTATAGTGGCTGCACATGTATACATGTATAGTGCTGCACATGTGCAGCAGCCCTGGGACATCCGCCCGAGCTGCACCAAGACTGCCACGTGGTAGGGAAAGCTAGGAGAGCGACTGGGACAAGTGAGCGAATGGGCGACTGGGTCAGGGGTGTGGCCAGCCAGGGGTTGCCACCGGTTTGGTGACCCATGCCAAATCACCGCTACCAGTTCGCCCAAACCGGTGTGAGCTGATTGAATACCACCTCTGCTAACTCCCCTGGCCAAATGCCAATGTCTCTCACTAAAGCATTGTGATTTATTTAAATCATAGAAACGTTAGAAGATAGACCTGCTAATAAAAAAATTGTACAGTACTTTGTTATCTTTCTTTCCTGGAATCTCAGAGGAAAGTATCAAGACGTTATATTCCTTGAACAGCACTATTATATTTTAATTACTTTAGAAAATACCACTTTATTTCAGCGAATTCTTCAAAGCATTTTAGATTTCAAAGAATTTCTTCAAATTCTAATCCAAAATTATCTGAAATAAATGAAAACTTTCATGACACAGAATTCTTTTTAGAGCTGATGGGACAGAGATGGAGAAAATTATATGGGCAGGTTTTATTGGGCTCTGATTCATCAGAAAGGAATTGGTATGTGATTATTGTGGTACTTAAAAGTTTGTAAACTTTTTTGAATTTTAAATTTTTCTGCATAAATATGACCTAAAATGTGACCTGTTCTCAACAGAAATTATATAAAGGGAATCAAATTAAACAAATGAGTTAATAACATTATGCTTGTTCGTTGATTTATTGAGGCAAATGACTTCAGTCAAGGTGTAGAATCTAACAATTTAAATAGACATGAAAAACAAGAGTCAGCAAACAAGTGGCAGCCCTTCTCTCTTCACATATCTGTTCACATCCTTAAGATTCACAAGCTGAAAAAACCCATGACCCTTACACATTCTTTTTAACTCTTGGCTGCCACTGTCCAGATTTAGTTATTGGTTTTTGGCTGTTTTTAAGTTTACATTTACATTTTTACTGAACTTGGTGACTGTTTAGTCACAACCATATTTTGGTTGTAACTGGTCTATTGTTTAATTCACATAAAATAGATCTAGCTTTGAAATGTGTCCATAAATTTCAATAGGTAAAAAATTCAAGAACCCAGCTGCTGATTGCTATACAACACAGCGTTTATATTGTACTAAAAGATCTGCTGAGTTACTGATTGTCTGCTGCCTGGAATATAAGATGCTGGTGTTAACAATCAAGCTTTTAATATTTTTGATTCTGATTGTCTGCAGGACAACTCTCCCTCTATGCCTAATAAATCTGGTGACTTGTCCCTCTGAGATCCTTCTGAGGATGCCCACATTTATAGTAGGAGACCTTGGAAGATGGCCTTCTCCCATTTGGTTTCCACATTCCAGATTATGAAATGTGCTCCCTAAGGAATTTCATTTGATTCCCACTTTCCAAACATTTAGGAAGATGATAAAAATAGTGCATTTTTCTAAGCTTTTAGCCATTAGAATAGAATTAGAATAGAATAGAATAGAATAGAATAGAATAGAATAGAATAGAATAGAATAGAATACATTATTGGCCAAGTGTGGTTGGACACACAAGGAATTTGTCTTGGTGCAAATGCTCTTAGTGTACATAAAAGAAAAGATACATTCGTCAAGAGTCAAGAATCGTAAGGTACAACATTTAATGATAGTCATAAGGTACAATAAGCAATCAAATCATAAGGTACAATAAGCAATCAAATCATAATAGGAAACAGTCCATATAAATCCATTAGTTTTCTAAATGGCTACTTTTAATTTTGATTTTAATTGAATTAATTTTAATTTGAATTCTCTATCTTATTGTAAGACAATTAGAAAATTGTGCTATCAGAAAAGTAGAACATACATTCCCTAACTAAATGTTCACTTTATCTAGAAATTACTGAAAGCTTAAAAAAATTATTTTTCAGAGTTGTAAATGAACAGGATGTGCTGGAAGGTGTAAGTAATAATTTTTCCCTTCTTTCAGTTCTTAAATTAATAATTTGAACAAAATTCAGTGATACAGTCACTGCTTGGCTATTCACAAATACAACAGTAATGTACAATAATTAAAAAACACTTTCTGATCAATGCATGAATTTTTGACCAAATTTTATATGCTTGACAACAAAAGCATCCGTGTGATACTGATTAACGTGTGACCAGTTTCTCATAATAGAGCAGCTGCCAGCTGCTTAATCAACTAATAAAGGCTGCAGTTGAACTTAACTTGCAGTTACATATTTTGAGAAGTGCTGCTTGCTCTGTGGAGAAAAGCAGCTTAGGAAGATACAGCCTTTTGAAGTAATCACTCCCTGCAAAAAGAAAAAGCAAGGGGGTAACAGATCAGGCACAAGACATTTAGGAGAGAATTTTATCTGAATGAGATGGCAGCAATCAGTGATCTTTTCTGCATCTCTCCCTTAGTCAATGTGTTCATTTAGCAACCATTATGCTTAATGACCAAGTCACTGGAACAGAATGTAATAGCTAAACAAGCAGTGGGTGTACCAACCTTTATATATACAAGAGTTTGATTCAGTGGTGGAATTCAAATTTTTTTACTACCGGTTCTGTGGATATGGCTTATTTGGTGGGCGTGGCTTAGGGTCACATGACTGGGTAGGTGTGGCTTGGTAGCCATGTGACTGGGGTGTGTGTGTGGCCAGGTGGGTGTGGCTTGGTGGTCATGTGACTGGGTGGGTGTGGCCAACTCAATGTCACTCACATCAAGGGGTGCCTTGCCTGGCCCCTCCCCTCCCAGCCATTCCTTGTCACACCCAGCTTCAACGTATCTATAGTTCTGTAAAAATGTTCGTCACCTTTTTTGACTTTATTATCTATGTACTATAAATGTACTTTCATGGACCATTGAAAGGAGAAAATGGCTCACATGCTTTGCCCAAGAGGGTAAGAGGCAACAGGCCTTTAGGAAGCTGCCAGAAGGAAGGGGGGCAAATATATTTTCCAAAGCACCAGAAGGCAAACAGTGTATTTTCCAAAACATCAGAAGGATGGAAACTGAACAGAGAGAGAAGCAACCTAAAAGTAAGGAGAAACTTCTTGACAATGAGAACGACTGCTTGCCACCAGAAGTTCTGGGTGCTCCAACACTGGAGGTTTTTAAGAAAAGACTGGACAGCCATTTCTCTGAAATGGTATAGAGTTCCCCCCAAGGTCCCTTCTAATGTTATTCTGACACCTTTCCCAGGACCTCTAGTCAGATTTTGGCATCCTCAGAGTTTTCCTGCCTGAGCAGGGGGTTGGACTAGAACAAGGGTCTTCAAACTTGACAGCTTTAAGACTTGTGGACTTCAATTCCCAGAGTTCCTCCTTCAGTCATATTAGCTCAGGAATTCTTGGAGTTGAAGTCCATAAGTCTTAAACTTGCCATGTTTGACTAGAAGATTACTTCCAAGATCCCTTCCAGCCCTAGATTGCTGTGCTGTTTCAAAGAGTCTTCTGAAGCCATGGTTTGTGTCCTTCCTTCCTCTCCTTTTTTCTCTCCCTCCCTCCCTCCTTCTATGTATCTATCCATCCACTCATCCATATATCTTTCATTTTCTCCTCCCTCCCTCCCTCTTTCTTTCTCTCCCTTCCTTCCATCCCATTTTTCTTTATCTATCCCTTTTGTTCCTTTCTCTTTTCCTTCCTTCCTTCCTTCCTTCCTTCCTTCCTTCCTTCCTTCCTTC